GGAGGGCCAGTCGGTCCCCCGGGACTGCCAGGGCTCCAAGGGCCTTCGGGAATTCCAGGACCTCGAGGAGAGCCGGGTGCTCACTGCGAACAGGCTGCTGACTATCTGACTGGTATTCTCCTTGTGAGACACAGTCAGAGTCAGAGTGTACCCGTCTGTGAACCTGGTCACATTAAATTGTGGGAGGGTTACAGTCTCCTGTACACAGACGGTGACGAGAGGGCACATTCTCAAGATCTAGGTAAACATAATCATAGCATCCTCTCAACAGGAACATCACCGTTGGATCAATACCATGACTTTTCAAATAATTTTCACGTATTCAAAACCACAAGTCACATATTTTCACTCGATAAACGATTTTTGTCATATGATTTCAATTTTTATCACAGCTCAGAGAATTTTGATATAGCTAATCGAATTTCTTGTCGAAATATTTGCAAATGAATTCCCCAATTTCACTGTTAACATTTCGTGTAAACAGGCTATGCCGGCTCGTGTGTAAGGAAATTTTCGACAATGCCTTTCCTATTCTGCGATGTCAACAACGTGTGCCATTACGCCAGCCGAAATGATCGCTCTTATTGGTTGTCTACCAATAGTCCAATACCGATGATGCCAGTGGAAGAAGCAGGCATCGAGGAGTACATCTCCAGGTACGTTATCGTTTCAATCTTCAATAGGGGAATGTAAACCTTTATCTCAAGGAAATAATGATATCGATAATCTTCCAGTAATTTTCTTACTCCTCTCATATTACTTGAACATTTATTCCACGTCGTGGTGCTCATTAATACGGGGGTATCATTTTTTCTACGTAAGGGAGAGAGTCGAGGCATTTCATCGTAAAAGATATCCTGGGGCAAAAATGTGCCGGGGAAGTATCCTGGGGTCAATGAAAGTTTATTATCTCAACTCAAAAGAGAGAGAGCTAACGACGCTCATATTTTATCAAAAAGAGAGACCACAATCAACTCATCAACCTGAAATAACTCATGGCTCTGCAAGTCCCAACTCAATTACCTCACAATTACATTTGCCATTCAACATCTGTTGACAGATGCGTCGTTTGTGAAGTACCAGCCAATGTTCTAGCAGTTCACAGTCAATCGCTGGTTATTCCGGATTGTCCTCCTCAGTGGTCCGGTCTGTGGATAGGCTACAGTTTCGTTATGGTAAGAAATATTGAAAAACGCTACGTGTCTAAATCCCTTCAGAGAGAAAAAAAAATTCATGAGTGTAGTATCTCCTTTCGCTACTGAATTACTACCTGTTACTGCAAGTATTACTGGAAATTTTGATAGCGATTGGACAGAGCGACGATGTAGTGGAAACGTTAAATCACCTTTGCGTCTTAATCTCCGCCCCTCAATCTCATTGCTCGTTCGACTTGAGCTATTACCTTCATATCATTTTATTCCATTAACTCGGTTCTTTTTTTCTTTTTCTTTCCCTTCTCCTTAGCACACCGGCGCCGGTTCTCAGGGTGGCGGGCAGTCACTATCAAGCCCGGGCTCCTGTCTGGAAGATTTCCGTGCAACGCCCTTCATCGAGTGCAACGGTGCGAAAGGACACTGCCACTACTACGCGAATGAATTCAGCTTCTGGATGGCAACGATCGAAGACAGACAGCAATTCCAGAGGCCCGAAAAGCAAACACTCAAAGCTGGTAACCTAAGAGGCCGAATAAGTCGATGCCAAGTTTGTATAAAGAATACGTAAGACAATATGACACAGCAATTATCGTAAAACAATTTGATATTTCTACTCTTCTTCCATAAATTTTTATATTGAAAAATGTCATGTATGAATTCTCAGCGAATGAGAATAATCCTGGTAGTGGGTTAATAATAATTGAGGGCTTGAGTGGATCAAGAAACTCACTCGAGACAACAATATTTTCTATTTCGTCTGCTATTCTTTATCCAGTGCTTTTGTAGCATATCTGTTAGCCAAGTAACCCAATGTTTTCCTCGGCTTTGAAAGGAGCTCCACCGAGACTCAATTTTCAATACTCACGTCGTCGATTCTACTCCAGTGAGTTCATCTTTTTCCTCTTCAACTCACTCCTCGTTAACCCATTCCACTTTTATCTCAACTTTGCGAAAAACAGAATGAAAACTTGGTCCTTCACTCATCTCACTACTTTATCCTCTCCTGTCTTGTTTTCTCCACCTTACATTTTTATAACTATACCACTAAGTGCCTAGCAATACTACTTAGCATGTAAAATAATATATATTTATATCGTTAAATTTGTACGAAGTCGATTAAAATGCACAAAATGAAGAAATATATGTTTTATTCAGACGATAAGGAAAATTTATATGGAGAAATAATGAATGAGGTCACTGCCGATATTCAATATGGCAATTTTACATATTGTATATTAATATAATGAGAAAATTTTAATGGACAGATTTGTAGCGCAGAATGTTCGCGTGAAGCCAAATATTTAAGTACATAGGTATTTTGCTACATAGCCAATAAAAATTATACCTCCACACATCTTGTTTTTTTTCCATCCTGACATTTATGGCAATTATTTCAAACAATTCTTCGTGGTCGGTTACTTTAAAATAATATTTTATTTAATTCAAATAATATTTCTGAATCTAAATTTCACTATCTCCCTTTGATTCAGAGAAATTCATCAAAAACTGGACTTAGAGAAGTCTGTTTTTGGCGGTCAACTATTAAATTTCAGCAAATTAGTTCAATGATTAACTTCATCGTAAGTAGATTCACCTGGGGTGGGTCAGCCTCGAGTCCATTAGCCCGAAGGTAATGGGGATTTAGTGCGGATACTCGTTCGATGTTTTCCAAAAAACGTCGAAGCGTTATCCAGAAACAATTGGCGATAATGAACGATTGGCAGTCTGATAATTATATAGTATTTTAAACATCAGCGAATGAAAAACAAAATGCTGAAACTACATCAAACGCTCATTTAAATTCACGTTCCAAAAAAATTTGATTGTCACTAATTAACTTAATTGGGAGTGATAATTTTTTCTTGGTTGATCTATTCATAAATTACTGATTACTGAATTTCAATTAGTGGCTGAACTTTCGTGAATAAAAATGCGATTTGGATTTTTGAAATTTAACAGGAAAATCATTAGAAGAAACGCCATTAGTACCTTCTCCATTTTCCTGTAATGTCCTTTTTCCTAAAAGGGTAGGACTAACAATAGTAATGGTATCGACTGCAGAGGCCGGTCGTTAACGAATAGAAGCTCATTAGAGCAAATGAAATTGCTTTCAGCCGAATAAACCAATTGCCGGGACAATTTGGCCCCCCGAATAATTCGAAAATGAGTGGAAACTATAGATTCATAATCGTTACGTTATGTTGATCAATGATTGTATTTTTTTTTGTCGGTGTATTAGCAGCACAATAAACGAGATTATTTGCGCAGTGAATAGCGCGATAACAATAATTACCATTTGAATTCTCGACTTATGCAGTTGATCACGAGCGACAAATATTGTTTGAATGCTAATTTATTGTGAACAAGGATATCTACTTGTGATTCTTCCACTGGTTTTTTTTT